ATTTTTTTTTTCAAGTATATCATCGTCGATGATATACTTGAAGAAAAAAATTAATTGATAATAATTTTATATTAAATTGACGTAATATAATAATAAGAGTAATAAAGTAAATATAAAATTAAATGATGACGATTACAATCGAATTAAAAAGAAAAAAAAACGTGGCATTAGTTGAAAAAAAAAAAAAAAACCGTCGCGATGTTGCCGACGTGAAATATAAACATTTAACCGTTTAAAGAATCGTCCGACATTTTTTTTTTAAAAAGGGAAATAGAGATCTACGTTGTTCTAATGGCACGTCTAAAATGTTAAATCGTCCGTTTTGTTTTTTTTTTCGTTTCGTTATATCTATTTCCAATTAAACCTCATTTTTAAACGTATAAAAAAAAAAAAAAAAAAAAAAAAAAACGTTTTTTCCGTTATTTTCTTTTCGAGGAATTGGGGGGAGGATGAGGGAGGAGAAAAGGGAGGAGGGAGGGATAAAAAAACAAAACTTTATAATAAATACCCGATAATCTATAAAAACAATTCCCTCCCTTCCCTTCCCTTTCCCTCCTCCTCTCCCTTCCACGATTTATTATTAATACGAGTTGAATGACCTCACGAAAAATTTTCCTTCCACATAAAAATAAATTCGGACCGAAAATCTGTTACGAGTATTGATTGATTGATTGATTGATTGATTGAATTTTTTTTTTTTATATTCATAAGCATCCATGTGAAAATACATTTTTTTTTTTGCAATCAATCATTTTTATCGAACGAAATAATAGTTTTTAATATTTATTTATAATGTTTTCCATTTTGTTTTCAAATTTTAATGCGTGTGTGTGTGTGTGTGTGTGTGTGTGTGTGCGTGTGTGATAACAACGAAAATAATAATAGTCGGGAAGGGGAGGGAGCGGGGGGAGAGTAAAGTGACGAACGAATTTATAATAATAATAATGACGTTTTAATATTAACAAAGGATTTAAAAAATTAATCGGAAAAGTTTTATTTTCTCGCGAGAGATCTCGTTTACGTAATAAAAATACCTCCCCCCACCTTTTTCAATTTTCAAAAAGTTAACGTGTCACTAACAATTTTGTTTTTTTTTTTTTTTTTTGTCACAACGTACAACGTTTAAACGAATTTATAAAAAATGACAGATTTTTATTATATTTTCCATTTGAAAATGTAAAACAATTTTCCCTCCCCCCCTCTTTTTTTTTTAATAGTTTTTTTTTTAACTTTCGCGACAAAATTCCCATCATTTGTATTCGTTTTAGTGTTTACGTGTTATTTTATTACATTCGCCATGTTTTTTTTTTTTTTTTTACTAAAACTTTTTTATGTACGAATTTCCTTCTTATTTTTTTTTTTTTTTTTTTGACTTTGATTGGCAGAACTGAATTGAATTTTTTCTCTCAACGATTTTTATCCGTCAAAACGTTGTTTATAATGTTTTATTATTCGGATAATTTAATTAATCTCTTATTATTATTATTATTATCTAAATAAATAAAATGAAAGAAAATCTTACCTGGTCCTTTAGCTCCTCCCGATAATAATCTTCCCAAACGAAAAATGACGGCTCTTTCGTATTCCTGAACGACTTTAAAACAAACGAAAAGTGAAAATGGCATCGTTAATATTATAAGAACCCATGATAAGAAAACCAATATGGATCCACAGAGTCCCGCTTCTCCATCGGGATTTTCTTCGACTAAAAACAAAACAAATAATCAATCAATCAATCAATAACAAAACATGTCGTATTTATTTTGTAATTCCATGATCGGGATTCTAAATTATCGTAAATTTTTTTAAATTTATTTATCGATAATAATAATAATAATAATAATAATAATAATAATAATAATAATAATAATAATAACAACAATAATAATAATAATAATGATGATGATGATGATAATAATAATGAACGAAACGCTTTCGAAAACGCGTTTTGAATTATAAAATTCGTTTTATTGTGTGACGTAACAAATTTTCCAATTCTTTCCTATTTTTTTTTTTTTTTTATTCTTTCGTCGTTTCCTCCCGGAAAAATGGGGGAGGGAAAATTGGGGAGGGGAAGGGAAAGAATGCGAAATTTTAAAAATATTCTATTGAATATAAAAAATTTCGATAAATTATTATTTAAGTCGAACGTGAACAATAATAATAATAATAAAATGAATGGAGTTTAAATAAATCAATGAGGAAAAAAAAAAATTTTTTTTTTAACGGTTTTGCGACAATTTTCCCTTTTTCATTTTATTAATAATAATTAATTAAACAAATTTATTAAGTATGTATTAAGTATGTAAAATAAAACGAATAGAAACGAATTTTTTTTTTTTTCGTTAAATTTTATTCGTATAAAAGTAATTTTTGTTTCGTGAAAAACAAATTTTCTTTTTTTTTTTTTTTTTTTTTTCGTCAAAACTTTTTTGACGTCTCTATTTGTAAAAAAATGAAATTTTTATTACGAGTTTTTTCTTTTTTTTTTTTTTTTGATAAAACAAAAAAAATTTTAAAGTTTTTTACTGTTTGTTTTCTCATTTTATCATAAAAAAAAAAAAAAAAAATTATAATAGAAAAAAATTTAATAAACTTTATCAAAAACTTGAATACGAAAACAAAAAAAAAAATTTTTTTTTTTTAAACGTAATTACGGATTTATTTTCAAAATAAAAACAAAAACAAACACCAAAACCCTAACAAAAACCAAAATAAATAATTAAAATCGAAATATGAACAACCAACAAACAAACAAACAAACAAAATAATTATTTCATGTAAAATCGATCATTAGTCTCGTGACACGACAACAACAACGTAACCGTCAATATTTAATTATTTCCGGTTAAATTATTTATACTTTTATGTAACCGAGGGAAAAAAGAAAAAAAGTTTCACGTGACGCAAAACGAAACAAAAAAAAAAAAAAATTTTCCTCTTTTTCCAATTTTTTTCATTTTCCCTATTTCTCTCTCTCTCTCTCTCTCTCTCTCTCTCTCTCTCTCTCTCTTTCTCTCTCCAATGCAAAGGAATGAAAAATTTTCTTTTCATTTCTCTTTCTCTTTTTTTTTTTTTTTTTTTTTGACAAAAGTTTTCTTTTTCTTTAAAAAAAAAAAAATTTTCTTTTTTATTTGAATTATATTAATTAGTAATTAATCAAAAACGTAATTAAAAGGTTTTACGTTAAACATCAAATAAAATAAAAATTTTCTTTTTTTCTTTTTTTCTTTCTTTCTTTTCTCTTAATTGTTCGAAGAAGAAAAAAAAAAAGTCCAAAAAATTTTCTCTTTTATTTTGTTAAGAAAATTTTTTTTTTTTTTTTTTTTTCTAAAATTTCTATAAGTTTAATTTACTTTAACCCGCATATATATATAAATACACGCACACGCACACGCACACGCACTCACGCACAAAAAGAGATTTTTTTCATCGATATCATTTTTCATATTACTTTTATCATTAATAATAAATGTTGAATTTTATGTTTATATATATAAACCCATACGTTTCGTATTTACATTTCAAAATGCGAATTTTTCGTTTCCCCCACCCCACCCCCCACCCCCCCCGATATTAAAATTTATTTATTTTTTTTGTCTTCCATTCGAAAAATAAAATAATGTAAACCCTCGTCGATTGTTTGTTTTTGTTTTTTCTTTTTTAAACTTCGATTGTTACGTGAAAATTAATAATAATAATAGGAGAGAAGAGGTCAAAAAAGTAACGAAAAAGGTTATAAAACGTTTTGTTTGTTTGTTTGTTTGTTTGTTTATGACATTTCAAACAGATTTTGTTGTTATTTTGTTTTATATATAAAAAAAAAAAAACTCAAATCAATCGTTTTAATATTATTTTACATTCGTATTCGTAAAATTGCGACAATTTTCCCTTTTTTTTTTTTTTTTTGAAAAAAGTTATTTGATCGTAATAATAATAATAATAATAATAATAAAATTTAAAAATTATAAGGAAACGATTCGTAATTTTTTTTTTTTTTTTAAAATATTTCGAAGTTGGAAAATTCAAATTTCCGGTTACAATAAAAAAAAAAAAAAAAAAGAAAGAAAAATGAAAAATCTTTAAAAATAATAATAAAGTGTTTTTTATTTTTTTTTTTTCCGCGGAAAATCTTTTTTTTTTTACATTCACGGCTTTTAAAATTTTTTTATTTTTGTTGTTATTGTTGCCACCCCTCCCCTCCCCTCCCCTTTCCTTCCCGCGCGGAAAAAAGGTTCTTTTTTTTCCTTCTTCTTCTTCTTCTTCTCCTCTGTATTTATTATTATTAATATTACTTTCATTTTCAACGGAGCGTGTTTATTTTACGAAAAAAAAAATACTAATAATAATAATAATGATAATATTATTAAAAAAAAAAAAAAAACGTTCGCAACGTATGAATATAAAAAAAAATTTTACCAAGGTTTCCCCGGGAAAATTTGAAAAATTTTATTATTAACCCACGTTTTTCTTCGTAAATCGAAATCGTAAAAAATAAATTTTTTCTAATAATAATAATAATAATAATAATAATAATAATAATAATAATAGTAATAATAATAATAATCATCATCATCACTGGGATCATCAACATCATCATCGGGATCAAATCTAAACTTTAAAAAAAAAAAAAAAAAACGTGCGAAAAATTATGAAAAAACATGCGGTCGTCAATAATAATCCGTAAAAAAAGAAAAAAAAAATTTTTTTTTGTCTCTGACGTCATTTCCGATAAAACCTTTTTTTAAAAAAATAAAATATTTAACGGAAAATAAAAATAAAAAAATTACTAATAATAAAAGTATTAAGTGTGGAATTAGTTAAATATCAAACGACGTGAAAGGTAGTAAAAAAAAGATTAAAACAAAAAACAAAAAACATAATAAGAACAAAAATAAGAAATACCACATAATCCGTTTGAAGTTTTCCTTTTTAAAAACAATAAATAATAATAATAATAATAATAATTTATATGAAAAATTCGTTCGTTGAAATTTTAAAAAAAATTAAATGTTCAGAAAAATTTTCCGCGGGAAAACAACACAAAAAATATAAACAAAGTTTTAATAAACATTCGATGAGATTTTAATTCCGCACGATTACGTTCGGTTGTCAACATAAAAACAATTCGAACGGTTGCGTATAATAATAATAATAATATTAAAATAATGTATAAAATTTCAATCGATTTAAAATCACGTAAAAAAAAAAAAAAAAAGTCGGAAAATTTTCAAACACGTTAGTGACACGTTAAAAGCATTAAAATTAAACCCGAAACGTCGTTTTTCCTTATTTTTTTCTGTTTTGTTTTCTTTGTACACGTTTTTTTTTTTTCAAGTTTTTGTTTTCTTGGTTTTGTTAGAAAAAAAAATTTTCCGTTTTTTTTTTTTAATTGAGATTTCGCGGGGAGAAAAAATTTTGCGTTTTTTTAGCCTTTCTCTCTCTTTCCTTTTTTTTAAATGACTTATTAAAACTTTTATTTTTAAATAAAATATTAAAATATTTAAAAGAAATTAATGACTCTACCAAAAATTACATAAATAAAAAAGAAAAGCTTTTTTTTAAAATAATAATAATAATAAAAACGTTTTAGGGTTTTGTCGAAATTTTGTCAAAACTAGACGGTTTAAATTCGTTGAAACTTTTTTTTAAACTTTTTATTATTATTTATACATATATACCGATAATGGTTTCCTAGTTTCCAGGGTTAACAAAAAAAAATTAAAATTTAAATAATTTTTGGGCAAACCGAAAAAGACTCATTAAATCCTCCGCCTCCACGCGATATTTTAACATATTTAACACATTTAAAGAAAATTCGCGTATGTGGGATTTGCGGTGCGACGACAAATTATTGTTTTTTTACAAAAAAAAAAAAATTGTTTAAACTTTTCGGTCGCGTCTGTGTGTACGTTTGAGTTTTTCCGCCTTCGTTTCCGACAATTTTCCATTTTATTTTTGAATTTTATCTGTTACGTGCACGATACGAAAGACTTTTCCATTGTTCGACAAATTTCCCCCCCTTCTTGAATTTCTCTATGAGGTTATCAAAATTCATTTTTTTCGACAAAATTATTTTCTTTATATCGTGCGAATAAAAAAAAAAAAAAAATTTAAATAAAAAAAAAACCAAGAAAAATATTTATAAAAACGATTGTCGGTTTAAACAATTAAATTTCCCACGGTAAGAAAAAGTTTTAACAAAAAAATGGCGCGCGTTAAAATTTAAAAAAAAAATTTATCTGTGAGTAATAATAATAATAATATTACAACAAAAAGTTTTAAAACCGACTCTAATTTAAAATTTCTTTTTCGGTAAACTTGATAAATTTAAAAAGAGATTCCAACGTTTTTTAAAAAACGTTAAAAAATAATTAAAGAAAAGAAAATGAAACTAAAATTGAAACCAAAACTAAATCAAAATTTCATCCCCCCCCTTCCCCTCCCCCCCACAAAAAAAAGAAGGGAAAGAAAGGTTCGTAAAATAAAGTTTTTCATTTTTTTTTTTTTTTATATATGGCAGTAAGATTTGTTGAAAAATTAATAGTCAACCTACTTTCTACTACTTTTAAATTTATTAATTCGATTTCAATGTAAAAATAAAATTTCTTTTTTCCCCAGTCGATACAAAAAATTTTTCATTTCGATAAAAACATTGTTCGAAATTAGTATTGAAATTATTATTATTATTATTATTATTATTCAAACACAAATAAATTTCTTTATTATTTATTTGTGTCGCCCGTTTTTCTTTTCGTTATTTAAATTTTAAACAATGCATTAAAACTTTTTATTAAAACCTTATTTAAAAAAAAAAAAAGGTTTAAGGTAACCTTTTTGAATATCTTATAAACAAAAATATTTTTCGATCGTAAAATATTCTTAAGATGCATTTTGTTACCCTCCATCCACTATTTATTAATAACAAATTAATTTTAATTAGTTTTTAACAATGTTTACTAACACTCGACCCCAAAACACTAACGAACCATCATTAAATTTTTATTAATGTTTACCGTATTGCAATTTTCAAATAAATAAATAATAATAAAAAAAAATTCGGCCATTTTAGTCCTTTTCCCGAGTGTCTCTCCTTCCCTCCCCTTGTCTCCCCGTCCCACTTAAACACGTACGAAAGCCACGAAATTGGGGATCATCTTAAAACAAACGTTTTTGTTTGTAGAGAAAAAAAATTTTTTTTTAACACAACGAAAGAGAAAAACATTTCGAGAACATTTTTAATATTGTTTTTTGTATTATTTCCGGGAGGGTGAGGGAGGGGGGAGGGGGAAACAACAAACATGGTGAAAATCTTACCGTGATCGTCGATCATTAATTTCGTGGGATTTTGGGTCACCTGATGATGTTGTTGATGATGTTGGATGCTACTTTCACTATTCATTATTAAATATATATATATACCCTGTTGGTGTCACTTTTAACAAAAGGACTCGTCGCAGAATGCGGCTGCCCTCGTACTGTTTTATCGGTTTCAAATGTATGTTTTTAGGGGGGAAAACGCCGACTCATACGCCGGCGCTTAAATCGGCGCCGTGCCCTTTAAAATTACGTACAAAAAAAATATAACGAGAAGACTAAAGTTGAAGTTACTTTTCTTTTATATATTAAAATTTAAAAAAAGAAATAACAATAATGATGATGATGGGAAAAACGAAAAAAAAAAAAACCTTGACTTTTGCTATCGTCAAACAACAAAGCTTAACCACCACACTTTCGAACAAAAAAAATTCTTTTTTTTTAGGTCTACAAATAGAAAAATATTTTTTGTTTATAATTAAAGGAAAACTTTTAAATTAACAAAAACGTTTGCATTATTTCATAAATATTTAAATTGAATTTTGCGGTAATTACACGGTATTATGTAATGACGCGGTTCGATTTTGCTTTTGACAGATTTTGCGGTCAAGTGATAAATTTCCCCGCCCTCCCACCTCGCCCTAATCCCAGCTCCCGCCCCCCGGCCGAAACATTTTCCCCATTTTGTGTAATAATTATTATTTTATTGATAGAAAATAACAATTCCGTTTCGTGAAATTTTCATTTAAATCCTTCGTAAACATTTTTTTTTTTTTTTTTTTTTTTGTAATGGCGGCGATACATGTATTTTAAATTAAATTTTCAATCGTCGGATTTTGTTTAATTTTCAATTCGCGCGTTTGTTTTATGTTTTTTAAAATAATTTTTTTCACTAATAATTTACGATCGAATAAATGTAATTTTTTTTTAAAACAAAACAAACTGATTTAAATATTTTAAAAAAAAACTAACCTCCAAATGCTATTTGATTATCTAAACCGTCAACAGCAACTGATCCATTACCATCTCTTCTCCCTGACATATTTGTAAAAATTTTTTTATTTTCCGGAAAAACTTTTCCTTGCATAAACGATTTAATATTATATAACACAAAAAAAAACTTTTAAAATAAATTTATAAACTTTATAAATAAATCACAAAACAATCACAACGTAATTTCGGTTAAACGCGTAAAAATACTTGCTCGCGTTCTTTTCGTTCGAATGACCGTTAATTTCAAATGATGAAAAATATTCACTGATTTTTACGTGTCGTGAGTTAATGGCCGACTACCATGTCAACGTATAACAAAAATAATGATAAATAATTTATTAAATTTTTGTTTGATTCGGGGAATCGATTTATTAAATTATTTCAAAAAAAAAAAACAAAAAATCGAATAATAATCATCATATTATAATAAATTTTTAATGTAAATGATATTTCTTTTTCAAAAAAAAAAAAAAAAAACTTACTCAAAATACGTTAAATATATAATATGCATTAACGTTTTATATTTTTCAATACGTGAAATTATCATTATCATTTTTTCACTTTACGATTATTATATATAAATTTAAAAATTCGTTTTTATAATTAATTGTTAACGATGATTGTAAAAAGGCAACAAACGTTTCATTTTATAAACTTTTTTGCTAACGTAAATGAATAAACAGACAAATGATGGCGAACGAACGAAAAAAACGAAACATTCTATATTCATTTTTTTTTTCTTTTCAAAACTCAAATATTATTTCGAATCACGTAAAAAACACTTTTTATATTATTATAATAAAAACTAAATTATTTATTTTTAAATAAAAAAGATTCGAATCCGAACAGAAAACAATAATTAATTAAAAATTTAATTATAATTAGTTAAATTATAACTCGATATATGAGCTTTTCGATTTTAACTGACGCCGTCACGAAATTATAATCAAAAAGGGTTGGCCAACTTTTGAAAAAAAAAAAAAATTAAAACTTACGAATGTAAAATTTTTCCTTTACCCGCCATAACCGTTATAAACATTTTACGTTAAACGTTTTTTATTTTTTTTTAGTTAAAATGTTTTTAAGAGAAAGAATCAGGTAATAATAATTAATAATTAATAATTATTTATTGTTTTAACCTTTTTCATATTAAATATGGACGGTTAATAATTATTATCGTTATTTTTTTAATTTTAATAATTGATACGAACTTTCTAGAATATTTATAAACGTTTTAACATAAAAATCATTAATCATCATCATCGTTATTTTTTATTTATTTTGAATAATTAATTAAATTACCTTCGTCAATTTTTTAATTAAAAATTCTTTAGTTAAAAAAAATATAAAATAAAATCGTTGATACTAAATGAGAAAAATGATAAATAAATAATAATAATAATAATAATTTAATTTAATTTATATTAAATAATTTTTTTTTTTTTTTATAAAAAGGTTTTTAACATTAATTTTTTTTTTTTTTAAATTAAAAATTTTCTCTTTTTTACTTTAGTAATGTAATAATTATGTGCCCCCCACCCCCCCCCCAAAAAAAAAAAAATTTGTCTTTAAAAAGAAATTTAACATTTGTAATTAAGTAATTAACATTTTGTTTCTTTTAAATATAAAAATGAAAGAGAAAAACAAACCTTTTCATCATCTATTATTATTATTATTATTATTATTATTATTATTATTACCTTAAAATCTTTTTTATTTTTGTTTAAAAGTTTTTCTATTTTTAAACAACAAAAGTGATAATAATAATAATAATAACAAGTTAAATTTTAATAAAAAACAAAAAAAAATAAAATTACAAACAAAAAATTTTATTTTTTTATTTTATTTCAATTAATAATATACATAAATACATAAGTATATATTTTTATTTTAATAACAATTTTATTATTTTTGGCATCATATTAAATTAAATTGAAAATTTTTAATAATATTAATAATAAATAATTATTACACAAAAATAAATAATATTTATAACATTTTAATTACATTTAATTATAATAATAATAATAATAACAATTAATTAATTTTTTAAAATAAAAAGGTGAAGAAGGCACGATGGGTTTTTTAATATATTAATAATAATAATAATATTAATATTAATAATAATACTCTCAAAAATTTAATTAATTTAAAATTTTTTGTACATATAAAGAGATCAAAACAAAAACAAAAAAAAATTTTATTAAAATATTTTAGAATACTTTAGAAATTTCAAAATTTTCATTTTTTCTTAAAATGATTTTTTCTTAAAATAGGCAAGTTTATCCTTTTTTATTATTTAATAAAATATATTAGAAACACGTTCGAACGGATTTCGAACGGCTTTTTCTTCTAAAAAAAAAAAAATAAAAACGCTGATCGTGGTAATCAATTCGAATTGATTTTTCCTTTTTTTTTTTTTTTTTATAATTCTTTTAAGGTTTGACATCCATCTGAAGGGGAAGGGGGGAGGGGGGAAATAATCGATGACGTTAATTTATTCCGTCGAAATGCCAAGAGTCACGGCCCCCCAATTTTTTTTCCCCGCTTTTCTTTTCGAGAATTTTCCATCATTTTTTAATTTCCTTACCACTTAACTAATCAACAAACGAAATTTAAACATAATAAATACATATAATAACGTTATTATTATTATTATTACAATTACTATTACTAGATAAGTACTTATTGAGCATTTACGTTTTCGACCCGACCTCATAACAAACAAACAAACAGATAACAAACAATCAAAAAATATATATATCTAATCATTTTTTAAATAGATAAAGAAGGTACCGATGAGCTTTGAATAAAAAACGTGAGCAAAAAATTTTTACGCAATATTGTCACGCACACACCCACCCTCCCTCCCTCTCCTTTGACAATATAAAAAAGTCATTGATGATGATGATGATAATTTAATGTACACGAGTCATTTAAAACTCTTGTAATTTAATTTATCCCAAAGTTTTTTTATATCCGTTTCCTGTAAATTGCAAGGTCCCAACAAATAAGGTACGACGTCCCAATCCCTGTCGCTCACTTTGTATAAATTTTTACGGGACATCATCAATCGTCCGAAGGAGGAAGGCGTGAAACCCGCGACCATTCCCAAAAATCCCGTTATCAACACGTCGTCGATCCAGAAAAATTTCGATCTTTGAGCAAGGGAATAAAGGGATTTGACGACGTCGTACGAATACATTATTGAAAATCCCTGACAGAATGGGGGATAATGTCGGTATTGGTATTCCTTCGTCGTGACTTTCCACTTGCTCCTGTTCGATCGTCTCGCAATAGCCTTGTATTCGGGAAGGCAACGCATGAGATGAGTCTTTGGTAAATCTCCCGTCGGATCGTCTATGTAATTTAAAAATTTAGGTACGTTCACGAAAACGTCGTCGTCCGTTTTCAACAAGTATTTAACGTTCGGACAAAAATATTTCGTCCATTTCAACGCCATGACGTGTTTGTACGTCAAATTTCTATACGCGTCCACGAAATTACCCTGTACTATGTCGCCGTGGGATTCGTTTTCCTTGTCGAGTTTATGCTGTAGGGAAGACGTGTCGGGCAAACCTAACAAAAACAACAAACGATATCTCGAATCCACAATCGAACCCCACGTATCTCGAATGATTTTCCTTTTCTCGAAATTATTCGGCGCCGTGTGAATCAAAATCAACAGTGTCGGATTGGTATTATTCTTGTTGTTACTATTACTATCGCACGAAAACGTATTTTTTAAAAATTTAAAATCATCCAAATTGACGAGCCTTGTAAAATCGTTTTTTCCCATCGTTCCGTTGTTGTTCCCTAAATTTGGATCCTTGAGAAAAAAATCTAGAGAGACCGGGCGGCAATAATAGGAATTTGAATATCCCGGACATCCCATATTTTTCCACGTGTAAATCATAACCGAAATCAAAATGGGATAAATAATTAATAGTAACGTTTC